ACAGCGCGGCACTCAACTGCCTGCGCCACGAGGGGAGGCCCGGATTATGTGGTCTTCCTGCTTCAAACTTTCAAGTGCCTCTTCTGCTTTCAAGATATTCTCCAATGTTCTGGAGATCATTTAGGACATTAACTCTGGCCTTGGCTACATGACAACCCTTTTCTCCTGACTTCTCTGCCCCAGTCAAACTACTTGCTGATAGTTTCCCAGGTGTGTCCCAGGTGTCCTATGTTGTCTCCTAATGAAGACCTATCTCCCTATCAAGATTGTAGAGGCAGAGAAGAAATTTTCCCTACCTCTTTGGGTTCTTGGACTGACTGAGCAATCAAATTACCATCAGACTGAGTTGTAGAAAGAACTAACTTCATTGCATATGTATGGAAAATCTACATGGATATAAATTTAAATTAAATGGGAAAAAACCAGGAGCTAAGGAATGGGATAGGGACTTGGGGCTTCAAGGAGAGACTTACATGATAAAATATTCTGGTGTTCTATATGTTTGCCCTGATATGTAGATAGATTTCTCTGAAAGAAAGCTGTTTTAATACTTACAGTTAAGGGAGTGGTGAAAGTTTCTTCCATAGTTGCTTAAATGGTGTCTCCTCTACTATACTGCAAGCCGAAAGCAAGGACCTTTTTTGTTTGCTTTTGCAGGCCTTGTGTCAAAAACACTGTGTTGCCCAAGTTAGACATTTAATAATTTTTTTAAACTTGAGGAAAAATTCTCAATGGCATATCAGGAGACTCTGATTATGAAAATAGTGGTTTAGAATACAGAAACTGAGGAGAAAACCCTGTCTCCAGATTATAGGAGATGTTTATAGCTAATTTTAAAATTAATCATACGGTTTGTAGGGTCAGGAATGGCCACAGTGCAGGTTTTCTGATCCCAGGCAGACTGGGTGAAGGAGGAGTCAGAGTCCTTAGTGGCTTTTTGCAGGTCTTTTTATTGGGATTTACCCGGCAGGCAGGGGTGCTGGGGGGCCGGGAGGCTGGCAGGCCTCCCAGCCCCCCACAAGTCTTCACTTTATCTGGGTTCTCTGGACTTCTCTTGGTTTCTGCTCATTCTTGGCTTCTACTGGCGTCCCTGTGACGCCACCCTTAAAAAGCACAGTCTCAACCCAGGTGAATCCCATCTACCTATGCCCACACCCTATTCCAGGTGCCCGCCATCAGGCATGCATTCAGGACCGCAAGGATCCATCTATCCTGATGGTGGGAGGGCAGAAAAGCCTGACATTTTTCCCTACCCTACACGGTTGTCAGTTTTTTTGTTTGTTAACATTCATTGTCTGGGCTCATTTCCACTGCATTATTGAAAGAAATGACACACATTTTTTTGACATCTAAAATCACAGGCCTCACTTTTTCTCTTGTTAGGGAAAGTTGCATGATTAGCATTAATAATTTTTTCCTTTGGGCATCATTAAAACAATTCACACCATTTAAAACTTGCAGTTCTCAATATACTCCATGATATCAAAGTTTAATCAATACAACTCCAAAAGATCAATACAGAGTGTAGGGTAAGTAAAAGGTATCAGGTTTTTCCGCCCTCCCACCATTAGATTAAATGCATACCTGATGGCGGACACCTGAAGTAGGGTGTGGCATGATAGGTGGGTACACCTGAGCCGAGAAACTGGGAATATAAGACCAAGAACTACCGGAGCAGAATGGGAGCAGAATCACCAGAGAAGCAGAAGAGAGAGGAGACTACAAGAAAACACCAGTGTAGGGTAAAAGAAAATGTCAGGCTTTTCTGCCCTTCCGCCATCAGGATAGATGATGGATCCTTGTCCTGAATGCATGCCTGATGGCGGGCACCTGGAATAGGGTGTGGGCACAGGGAGATGGGATTCAGCTGAGCTAAGACTGTGCTTTTAAGGGCGGCGTCACGGGGGACGCTAGCAGCCCCAGCCAGCAGCAGCAAACCTGAAGGAGAAGCCGAAGCAGAAGCAGAGAACGCCAGAGAGCCCAGATAGAGTGAAGACTGCTGGGGCTGGGAGGCCTGCCAGCCCCCAGCCCCAAGCCAGCACCCCTGCCTGCCATATGCCTGGTGAACCCCAAATAAAAAACCTGCAAAACTACTGAGGACTCTGACTGCTCCTTTACCCGGTCTGCATGGGATCAGAAAACCTGCACTGTGCCCAGTCCTGCCCCTTACAATTGGCGTAAGTCGGCAGATCCATGTAGACGGGTATTGGAGCCCTCCGAAGACCTGGAGGGACTAAGGAGAACAGACTGTTTGCCTGTGATGACGCTGGAGGCACCATGGCGCACAGAAGGTGGATACGGTCCGGAGCTGTGGACGAGACCTCGCAGGGAGGAGACGCCCGAAGGACCAGGCAATGACACCGGAAAGGACCAGCCAATGACACCGGAAAGGACCAGCCAATGACCCTGAGGCAGCAGGCCGCTGCTGACGCAGGGAGAGGCCAATGGACATGGACTGATAAACTTGGACTGACAATGCCGCCAGAAGGCGAGGACCTTGCAGGTTGATATGTTTGGGACCCTGGGGTGGAACAGTTTTGTTGTAAACCCCAGGAGATGGGAATCTGGGTGGCCAGTGGGCCTAGATGCCAAAAGCAGCCTGTGTATGCCCAGTGGCCAGGTGGAGGAGAAAAGCAAACTAAGGTGGCAAAAGCTGGTACTGATGCTAAGTTTGAGAAGCCTAAAGCGGCTGTTAAGCAGCCTGGGTATGCTGAAAGCCCTGTGAGTCTCGTAAAATCACCTATGGGTGATGCCCTGCTCATTCTTGAGTGAGGGTGAGGAGCTGAGGAGCCCGTCCTTGTGGGACGGGTGGGGAATGTGCTTGGGGTGGAGCCCAAGCCAAATGCAAAGTTGGATCCCCAACCATGTGCTTGTGCAGTGGGTTGGCTTGAGAGCAGGGGTCTGTGAGTCGCATGGGTGGCCATGAAGGCCGAGTGTTGGAGCGACTGCAGACAGAAACTGAGGGTTGGCGATTACCCCCACAGAATAAAATTGCCAATCCCAGAGCTAGTGCATCCTGGGGGTGGATGCTGTTGTGCCTTGTAGCTAGACTACAGCCAGAGAAGGCCAGGAAGCCTGACGGCTCCTGGTGTGTATAGCAGATGCCGTGTGTGATTTCCCCTCCCTCGTATGAGCAGTGCCTTCGGCAGCAGATTTGGTGGCTCATCTGCTGGTACCAATATTGTCTTTTGCACTTGGTGGTGCCCTGCCTGGACTTATTTGTGTTCTGTTGTATTTTGTTCTATTGTATTTTGTTATATTTGATGTATTTGCTTTTGTGGGCATGGCTGCATTGTTTGTTTGCTTAAAATTGTATATATATGTATAGCATATGGCAAAACCTGAGGGGTGGACTGTAGGGTAAGAAAATGTCAGGCTTTTCTGCCCTTCCGCCATCAGGATAGATGATGGATCCTTGTCCTGAATGCATGCCTGATGGCGGCACCTGGAATAGGGTGTGGGCACAGGGAGATGGATTCAGCTGAGCTAAGACTGTGCTTTTAAGGGCGGCGTCACGGGGGACGCTAGCAGCCCAGCCAGCAGCAGCAGACCTGAAGGAGAAGCCGAAGCAGAAGCAGAGAACGCCAGAGAGCCCAGATAGAGTGAAGACTAAGTAAAAGGCTGGGAGGCCTGCAGCCTCCCACCCCAAGCCAGCACCCTGCCTGCCATATGCCTGGTGAACATGAAATAAAAAACTGCAAAACTACTGAGGACTATAAGACCCCTTTACCCGAGCAGAATGGGAGCAGAAACCAGAGAAGCAGAGAGAGGAGACTACAAGAACAACCAGAGAGCCCGGAAATAGTGAAGATTCACTGGGGCACTGCCAACCTCCTGGCCCCCTGGCACCCCTGCCTGTTGTGTACCTGGTAAAATGTAAAATAAAGCCTGAAAAAGGCCACTGAGGGGGCTCCAGGACTTCTCATTTACCCTGTCTGCTCGAGTCATAGAGAACTTGCTCTGTGCCTTCCTGCCGCTATCAATCTCGAGTTGCAGAACCATCAGTCAATGAAGCCACTGACTCGAATTCCCCAGAGCTTCCAGCACTTGCTTCCTGGTTTTGTCCTATGTATATTGGTGTTTTTAAAACGATAGTCCAAGGGCAAAAAAAAAAAAAAAAAAAAAAAAGTCGAATACCGGTCGATAGGGCACAGGGAAAGGATATTTGGAATTCACAATCTCTCAATTCAGCCATTAACTGAGGCACACACCCCAAACTCCCTAATAGGTACAGTTGTTTTCAGTTTTGGAAAAGGAAGATGGAATAATAGGTATTCATTTGGAACATCGGTGGAATTCAGACACCAAGCTGAGTGACAGAGGCAAGAGCTGAACTGAAGCCCTGGGACTTGCTCCATACTGATTTAAACTGGCAGGTAAAATTCCACTTGTTTGGGGCCTCCCTGGTGGCGCAGGCAGTTGAGTGCAGCGCTGTAAAGCTGTCTGCAGCCTCTGCAGTGCCAGTTCGATCCCTGCTGGCCTCGGAGCAACCCACATGGGGAGCAGACCTCTCCTGTCTCACCTGCTGCTCCCCTCAGCAGTGTATTCCATCAGTCTGCCTGTTCTGTTCCCACTGTCTCTGGTGAATCCTCTCATCCTCCTGCCCATCTGGCCTGTACCCTGGCTCTTGTATTAAAAAAAAAGAAAATCCCACTTGTTTGATCTACACGAACTAAAATTTGGGTTCTGGGGCCTTTGGTGGGAACCAAGCTGCCACCCAGTTGCACACTAAGGCATTTTAGGGTCTTCATTTTTTTGTTCTATTTCTTTTTTAAAGAAGAAAGATGAAAATATCCGTTATATTCCCTGAACCCTTGTTCCCCTCCTCACCTCATTTCTATCCTGTAAAATGTTTTGAAAACTAATGGTGGAAAGGAAACAAAAATATGTTTAAATACGAGGGCAAAGCATTTAAGAAATTAAAACAAAATGGTCATTTATTGTTTTTAATATGTAGTCAAAGAAGACAGCAGTATTACACAAATTGCTCCCTTCCCCCCTTCTAAAGTCCCCAAATTGTTGACTCCAACTGAAATTGAGAAAACATGATTTAATTCTGAAAAAAGTAATCAAGAGAGAGAACACAGGTAACATTTGGTCACCACCAGCTTCCAGATCTTTAAAGATGAGTTTTGTCACCATGACAGCTGATACATTGGCTTTTTTATAAAATATTTACTAGGAAAAAAATAAGATTTCTCACATACTGAAAGCAGAACCAGAAAAATTACAGAAAAACTTGGTTTAAAAATGATGTGAAGTAAACTTTAATGAATTATTGCAATCATAATGATCCCAGGTAAAATATAGATGGCAAATTAATGAACTGTAAGAAAATACATTCAAATTCGTAATTAATCTTACTGTGAAAATAATCAAGAAACTTACAGAAGTATGTAGCATCTGAATTATTAAATTTCAACCAAGGATTTCAATGAAGGTGTCACCTCTTTTGCGATCAGACACCATTAGTGCAAATTTAGCTACGATCCTTTCTTCATTTGCAGGTTCAGGTATGTCAAGCATGAGGTCACATGAAGTATGCGTGTGTTATTTTGTCAGGAATGAATGCAGCCTTGGTATGTCTCGTTGACATGGCAAAGGAAATAGGAATGATGTCTTGAGGACTGGAGTAAATTCAAAATGCTATTTTCCAAGCCTTGTATTAGATGGAGTTTTGGAAGACCTCTGCAAAATTAACCTTCACCTGAAAGACGTGTCCTTGATTTGACATGCAGGGTTTTGGAAAACAGTGGGAAGCAAATTTCAATATGCTGTACTTACCCACACAGTCTTTCCTTTTGTTTGGGGTGGACTGAGTCTAGAGGGTCAGATTTTCCCCAGTGTTCTCGTAGCAGCACCACAGTGAGCTTTGTGATTTTGACAAAGGGCACAATTATACCCATTTTGAAATGCATTTACAAATATTCTGCATGCTGGTGCAACTGGCATAAAACACAGACAGCCCCTCGGGTGCCCAAGCTCTCCTTTCACACTTCAACATTTCAAATGACTACAAGCAGAATTACCAGAAACAGTAGTAAATTCCTGGCACTGGAGGTTCCCATGATCCCAGCTGGCATGCAAAAAGGACGGTCTCTTTTTTCCACTGAAAATAATGTACTTCCCAGGCACCGTCCAAATTCCTCAAATGAGGCAAATGAGAGATTTGTTTTGACCAACGAATGAAAAGACTTTCCCCTTCTCAGTTAGGGCCCTGAGACTCGGTTATAATGTACACAAAATGTCTGTGCCTAGAGAGATTTAATTCATTTCCCTAAAATGATATTGAACACTTCTTAAGTAGGAAGCTCTGATTTCTCTTAATGGTATTTTCAGAGTAGCCTGGTGAAGGACACTTAGTTTGACTTTTTATTTTCCAGCCACAAATATGACAATCTGAGCATGTTTTTGTTCAAACTGTGTTTGAAATGGTAGCTTAGGGTTGAACACAGTGTCTCGACAACAGTGCTTGAGTCTGTGTCCTGAGATGGACAGACTTCACAGAGATCCAGCTCTGTGTCTGTAGGTGAAAGTGCTCTTTCTTATCCTCTCAGCAGGAAAATTATTTTTATTTTATTTAGTGCCTGTGTGTGGTTGGCTGTCTCGTGGTCTCTGGCATAAGGGAAACAAAGAACATAGTTATGCCTTGTAAATCAGAGGGAGATAAATGGAAAGTCTCTTTTTGGTCATTAACCAACCATAAATAACTCAATTCTCTAGACCAGGGGCCTCAGTGATTTTAAGATTAGTGCCATGAAAGAAGTACTGGAGGAAGATGGCAGCATTTTAGATTAATCGAGAATATCCCTGATTTTTATCTCCAGAACATCATGTTTCTTAGCATAACTTTTAAGATCTATGCTCCAGTATCTGACCTAAATGTGGACTGATACTCATTGACTTTTTATTTGCACATAGCTCTGAGAAAGTTGAAATGTCTGCTTGACACTGTATTTGGGCTTTATTTTTTCCATGAATCACCTCCACCCACCCAGAAGCATGTTTATATTGCTCTCCACTTCGCAAACTTCTAAAATTAATTTCATGTTATGTATCTATTCAATAGGCACAGAAGGTTTATAGTTTCTAGATCGGTAGGTGATATTTTGGTCGTGTGTGTGTGTGTGTGTGTGTGTGTGTGTGTACGTGTACATATATATGTGTGTGGTAATACTAGGGAAAAGACTGTTTTTAAAACCTGGCACTCCAGTGGGAATGAAAGAAGTCACTGAAATTTTTAAGTGAATCAAGATGAATATATCACTGCCTGCCAAATCAATTTTTTCAACTTTATTACATTAGGAGAGGATATTTTTTGTAATTCTCAAATGTTAGTAAACCTTAGAAATTAGAAAAAGATGAGTAGCAACATATGATTTGCATTTTCCCCCCAGCCTTTTTATTCTGGATTTAAAATAACAATCTTTCAGTGCTGGCAGTAATTTGGAAAATCACTTCTAGTAACAAGTTTTGAGCATTTTATTCCTTTAGACATAATTTGGTCCTTCATAAAAAGGTGTTGTGGAGAAATCAATGATGATATAGTCACTACATCAGTTATGACGACTGATTAAAAATTACTAGGATAATTATACTCTGCAAAAATTTTCTGAAACCTTTGTGTGCTGGATAGTTTAAAAGTTATGTCAAGCAATAAACAGATGTGTTAAAATTTAAGTTGAAATTAGAAGATCAGCTTATGATGTAAAGTAGCACTTATTGAATGTATTGACAGTGGGAGAGTAGAAAATCATATACACACTTGACAGTCTCCATGATTGCCTTAAAAGCATTCACTTCAGGTGTGCTTGTCAATATTTTACAGCCTGAGACTTCATAATCAAGGCTTACAGTTGTGTATTCATAGTAGCAACATATAGTAAATACTTATGAATGCTTTCAGTATCTTTTAGCAAGGAATAAAGGGAGGTCTGATATTCTAGTTGGATTTTTGATGTTAGTTCTAGCAATATTTACAAGGGGATGTCTTTGTATAACTTCACCAAGTTTTGCAAATTGGTACAAAACACATACAAATACAAACTGATAGGACTCAGTTATTCACAGGACCTCACTAACCCTAGAGCAAAATTGACATAAGGTACATCAAATAAGTAGGAACTTTGGTTTGATAAATTGAAGCATTTCACCACTGAAATTTCCAATTTTCAATTACTTAAGACAGCCACTTATTTTTGTAAGGAGTGATATTATCAGAAAAAAAATCATTATCAGAATTAGAAAGTTCATCCAGATGTACCTAAAATTAGATGTCCAAATTTCAACTTCTATGCATATTTTGAAGGCAAAGATAAAAGAACAATATTTGCAGATGTATGAAATGACCAAAAGAAAACTCCTCAAAGCAAAATCTCTGAGATACTGAAGTTGTATGACATGAAGTCTTCAGATTGAAGCAACAATCCCCATAACTGCTATTACATCAGTAAAGCACAATTGCCAAACAGTTTTACCTAAAACTCCAAAAAGCCAATTCACAAATTTTCAGTGATAATCTTTGAATCTTCTCCAATAAATTTGTAAAACTGAGAGATGGAGAAATAAAGATGATGTTGGGTATGTAGTCAGACTCGCAAATTTTACAGTGCAGTCCCCTTTAATTCAAAGAATTTATGATTCTGAGTCTCATAAAGACTTTTATGATGAAGATTAAGGGACAGACAGAAATGTATCTCTTTTTGCTGATATAATCCAGTCATTTTGCCAATTTCACCCAGGGTCACAATTGGATATGTGTGACAGTATGTGGCCTACTGGTATACAGCCAAGCTTGAAATCTGCACATACTTCATAATGCATGGGGCCACTCCCAGACCCTTCACTTCCAACAAAGACTCATGATGCCCAAAATGTCAACAGTGCCAAGGTTGAGGAAACCTGAGATACTCTAATAAAAGACAAGCAACCATATACAGCTAAAGTGCAAATGCTTCTTTGATACACTGGTGTTTTGAAATACCTTAAAACTATGCTGTTGATAGTTTCAAAAACCATAACAGAAATATTGGTGCAAGAAAGTGAACTATTAACCGTGGTCAGAAAGAATTCAAGTGACCTGAAAAGTTGTCCTGGGTTGGGGACAACTAAGGATGAGTAACTTATTTTTTTCATAAATGATATTAACAGATCATATGAAATAGAGCAAACAGCACAGATGTGCAGTGATGTATAATATTTCAGAAACAGTCTTCAGGCAAGTACTTAATAGTTCCCTATATTGAACAGAAAATTGGAATTGTAAAGTGGATAGAGTAATATTGATCCTACCTACTGGCAAAGTATTTTGACGATTTCACTGCATTACAATTATCAGCTGACATGCCTGATTTCTCACTATTTATATTTATCACTATATATCTATCACAAGATCTAGCGAAGGAACTTGGTTCTAGAAGGTGCTCGATAAATATTTAAGTGAATTGAGTGGTTGAATGAATGAACAATTAAAGGGATGAATCAAAGTGCTTTATAAATGTAAAGTGCTTTACAAATACATAATGTAATATGTGTATGTAATAGGTAGTGCTACAGACTGTATAATATTTGCTAAGAGAGACTTGGGCAAAATGTTCAAATTGTTTTAAAAAGCAAATAAAAATTGTGAGTATATATGTAGTGAGGAAACATGGTATAAAGATAGTTTTCAGGTGCATTTGGGAAGAAATGAAGCAAAGGCAGAGTACTTTTAAATAGCAAAATATAGTACTGCTAACTTAGATGGACCACATGTAGGAGTAGAGGAAGAGAGATACAAAACCAAATAGACTTTGTAGTAGCTAGAGCTTGACTTCACTGGTTGTATAAAAATGGCACCATTGTTACTACAGCAACATGAAAGAGTTAGATTGGTCCAATGTTCATCAGTAGAAGACAGAGCAGTCAGTGCAGCAGATATAGTTAGACTTCAGATTGTCTGTGCCTTCCAAGCTGCTTGGTCACCCATACATGCTGACAATGGGGTGTAGGCAATGAGAATCGAAACAAAAATTACCAGTAGGACTTTAAGTTCAATACCTGGTTCTCACTCTGGGAAAATCACTGTATCTTTTGGGGGCATCATTTTCTTTTTCTTTTTAAAAGACTCATTTATTTATTGCATGGAATAACTGGGGCATAGGCCAGAGGTGGGGTGGTGAGAGGATTCACCAGAGACAGAGTGGGGAGCAGAACAGGCAGATCCACTGAAATACACTGCTAAGGGGAGCAGCGGGCAAGACAGGAGAGGTCTGCTGTGCCATATGTGGGTAAGCTCCCTGGCAGGGATCGAAATCAGGCAGTGATGGTGATAGTGATAGTGCTGAGACTTAACCCCTAGACCACCAGGGAGGCCCTGAGACTATAATTTCCTAATCTGTATGATGGAAAGGATGTATCAGATGCTTCCCATGAGTCTGGCATATGGATGCAGATGCCAAAGCATGGGTGTACAGTGAACAGGAGGAGAAAAAGCAAGTGCAGTCTTTAGGAATTAGTAAGGCATATCTTAGTAAAATATCTGAAAACTGCCTAAGGAAATACAAAGCAAAATGACTCCTAGGAGGAAGAAACCATACCCATAGGGTTCTTTTTATCCTAAGTTAATCTAATTTAAATATTAATTCTTATCTTAGGATGTAAGTGTCTTAAACCAAGCATGTGTTTCAGCAAAACTTTTGTCAAATGAGCAACAGACTCTTGGGGTATTACCAATTTTATACTCCTTCAAAATGAGGAAATAGCATAAGATTTTTTTTCTTCCAATAACTGATAAATCACACCAATCTGAGAATACACATTATCTGTATATGATGGCAATATAATTATTTACAATTTTATTCCTCTTATACAGTCTGTACTTGCAAATTTTTACATATAAAATTAAGTTCCATGTATTTTTATACTTTTATGTGGCATTTGTGTCCTATCTGTATTGTGGGGTTAAAATAGTGAAAAACATTCGAGTATTTTCCTCTGAAGAAAAGCCTGCTGCTCAGCTCTTGGGCCTGCCTTTGCTGTAAAGAGTAAGCTGAGAAATTAACTAAGAAGAACCAAGAGAGACCAAATGACTACATAACAGAGAACTGAGCCAGTTTGAAGGTTGCCCACAAGAGACATGGCTATGAGAGAACAGAGAACTGGGGCAGGTAAAGAAAATATTAAGATGGAAAAAAAGAAAATTTAAGCCATTCTGCTTTATGTTTTAAAAGTACTCTGGTATTTTCTCAAGAAATGAGAATTGATGGAATTTTCTTCAATACACTTTGTGCTGGTACTAGACCAATACATGTGCTTTACGTGTGTTAAATTGACATCAATTTAAAAAGTACGTACACTGGTACATTTAGTCAATCTACTTGATAATAATCTTGAAAGGGAGACAGGACAAAAATACTTTTATTTTCCAAAGTTGCAGACTGAGACTCATGGAAATTATTTTCCCCAATAACAGAGTGGGAAACTCAAAGTGGGGGCAGCTAATATTCTTTGCATTACTCCATGCTATCTCTCTGTGATTTAAAAAAAAATTCAGATATACCCAAGAAAAACCAAATCTTTTTTCCCCTGTTCCTCCTTTTTATTCAAGGAGAGGGAATTAAAAAGAAAGACCTCTAGCGCTCTGGGTGATAGAATTTTCTCGGTGATGGGAATGTTTTGTATTGTCCAATATGCTAGCCTCAGACATAATTGGCTAGTATGGCTGAAGAAATACATTGTTATTTCATTTATTTAATTAATTTAAATAGCCACATTTGACAAGTGGATATAATATTGGACAACACAGACCTAGAAGTTACATGTGAGACATTAGCAAATGCCCTAGGTTTCTCGAACTAAAATAATAATTGGGGTTAAATTAAATATTATAATTTAGCTTTAGATTTCAATTTGTTAGTATAACTTGAATTCCAAAGCATTCATAAATAAACCAACATTGTGCTTTCTGGTGGACTCAAGATATTTTTTCATGACTTTTAATATCTTTAATTAATCATTGAATATTATTTTTATAAATTAGGATGAATTAACTAAGTACCTCTGTAGCACCATTTGATTTCTCCAGAAGTGTGCATAATTTTAATTTTTAAAGTTGTTACTGTTACACCCTACCCATGATAGTCATAGTATATTAAATAACAGATGTATCTTTTTTGATATGTAAAGTTCATTTTGAATTTCCAGAAATTTTGTGCATGTCTATTCTTCCTTTGCAGTATATGGGCACCAAGAACAAATCATAAGTATAAAGTAGAATGAAAATTTCATTAAAAATAAGGATTCCCCTTACCACTAGATGATTGCTATAGAATAAGAATGTCTCACCACCTTGAACTCCTGTTTTATTAGGAACTTTTTCCTTAAGTCAATAGCCTTTTTCCTTCCAAAAAGTATTCCCTATTACTTAGTGCTTTACTTCCCTGGACAATTCAGAGTTTCATGTTTGTTTGTTTTCATAGCATTGCCAATTCTTTTGAATCAAAAATAAGAGATGAGCTCTGAAGGGTCTAGAGATAACATGACTACTTCAAAGAATTATGTAAGGAGTTGGATATATATACAGGTTTTATACATCTGTCAATCAACTGCTATTGGAAACCACAGCTACTATGAAAGCTAGTGAAAGTAGCATCATCTTATCCTAAAAGGAATCGTCTATGTGTTCCTTATGCTTTTGTAGAATACCAGTTGCACCAGTTACATTGGCAAGTCATTTGGTTATTGGTATCTGCATAAATGTACTCCACAAGAAATAAGGTGGAATAGTTCATGTAAACTGAACATAGCTGCAGCAGAGAGATTGTCATCACACCCTTCAATTACTTTGCTTGTCAATTTGTTTGCAATTATTAAATATGTAGGTTCAGAAAATAATTACCACCCTCATCAGGTACTTAAAAATATAAAGCAAAATATAAGTGATGGAAAATACACTAGTTTGGACAATTGTGAAAATGTCCTTTCACGTAGACACTGTATATAGACATAATCTGTTAGTAAAATGCCACTTAGGAGACATCTCAGCTTCTTGATACCTGAATCTGCAAATGTTGGACACTACACCCTACAAGAACCAACAGCTTGTTTTGGCACTGGATGTAAGTATCATGGGTCGAGATGTTGATGGAATTGTACACACAGTACCTGAACTAACCTTTAGGAGCTTGGTATATATATATGTGCCACATTCCTCCTCAAGGGATGCCTCTCCTTTTATGGGGAAATTTCAAAATCTGGATTGTGATTACATGGCAAATAACAGGCCCATCTAAGGAGCTTTTGCATCTGGATTATTTGGCAAGGGAAGGAAGGGTTGATACAAATGAAAGAGTGGCTCAAATAGGCAGGAAAATGATTGGTCCTGCAACTAATTGAACCAATTTTTCTAAGTGACATAAAAATATTCTAATATTAAGGATTATTTTACAACTCTATGGAAATATGCTGTAATGCATCTGCATTTGTTTTGTCTTGATGACAAAATGCACTCAGAATCACAAGAGCCTGCCTTGTGTTAGTTATAAACAAAAATATATTTATATATATATTTATGTAACTACTATGTGCTTTAAAGAAAATTACTGTATGATTCAGCAGGGTTCTTTCATTCTTTTTATCACCAGGGATATGTTGACTTGAATGGCTTCTTAGACAGGAATTGACAATGAAATGGGCCTTTAGTACTGAAACAGCAAAAAAGTTAAAAAAACAAAACCAAAAACACCTGTTTAGAATCCCTTATTCCTTTTTCTTTTTAAAACAATTTAGGAACTCTTCACATTGTTTCTTTGTGTTTCCTCAGCCAAGAGCAACTGTGGCTTCATTGGACTTCACAGTTGGAAAATGGAGGCAATTATTAAAAAAAAATCAGATGTTTTACACCAAGGTGGGAGAACTGAAAACCTCATTTGCCATTCCTGCTTTCCTCATCCTTAGCTAAAAGTTTAGAAATTTGGTCACAGCTCATAGAAAGGGCATTCATTAACATTCATTAACAGGGGAAGAGCAAGGCATAGTTCAAGCCTCTAGTACAGATAAAAGAGCCATCCATAAAGTAATGAACTTTTGTGAACAAGTGGATTTAGACTAGAAAAACAAAATTCTTCCACCACAAATCTGGTGAAAAGATAGAAAATTTCTTAAGTTTGTGTTTTTCCTCCTGCATGAGCTATTTCTTTCAGCAATCTTGATATATTCGTCATTGCTCTTTTGCGTAGAAGGGTTCAGGTTTTGGAACACAGTTATCTTTATGATATCAGATAAGAATTTGAACAAAGGTGGAGATCCCTCGTAAACTAAAGCTTTAGAATTTTTTTTTTTCTTGATCCCTTTGCAACCTGCACCTAAGCCAATAGCATTATAATCTTGTCATACTTCTGATAAGTCCCCAGGAGATGTTCTGAGTATAGATGTCTTTCCACTAGAGAATTCTATGTTCAGTGGTAAATGATATCTTGTATAAATTTTAGTTTTTCTTTTACCCTTCCTGGGCTGGGCTCAGGAAATCTCGTCTCCTTCAGGCTGGAGCAGCTTAGGGCTCCTATGAGTGAGTGTATGTGTGTGCATGTGTGTGTGTGCGTGTATGTGTGTGTTTGCTTGTTTGTCTTAAAGGTATAGGCAAAATTTAGTCTTAACACCTGTAAGCCAGCACTGGTGCTGTTCTGTCCTAGAAATTTTAGCACTGCTCTGATACAATAAAACCTTCTTTCTCTCCAACTGGTTCAACTTCAGCATAGGCAGGATGGCCAGAACCTCTTCGAAACTTCATTGCTGGCCATCTGCTTGGGCGTCTCTGAAACAGAAAATGTAAAAATAATGAATACCAGAATGATGATCATATCATCTGAAAAATATATTTGCCAAATATGTAAAATTAACTTCTGAATTAAATTCAGTGACACATTATCTCCTATTATCACCATAGTCAGAATTATAGACCTTCAAACACCACACTGCATCTCCATATGGCACTACTACCCGCACCTGTCAGGGAGTCTATTTGCCATCCCTGCCCCCTTGGGTTGAGGGCTCATCAAAGATGAGGGTTATGCGTTATATGTTTTTATGTCTAAAAGATTCTATAAGCAAACCGAACTGTATAGACAAGTTTTCTTAATATATAAGCACTAACACTTTCTCTTCTCTAGGAGTTAATAACACCACTTCATTTCATTCATCGATTCAATCAAAAACATAAGGCCATGAAGTTTTGCAGTTCTTAGAAACGTGTTTCAAATCTGGTGCTAGACTTGCTAGCAAATACACTGAAAGAAAAATCACTTAAGAAATTATTTATTAAGCTAATATTTCCCATATGACTTTTTGTGCCTGAAAATGAACAGATGTCATGCCCCGAAAACTGAATTCAACATCAGAGGGCATGAATGATCTCAAGTCTGAGTAAATAATTGCAGATGTAGACACTAGCCCTAAAGTACAGTTTATTTATATTGACAAAAGGAGTAAATTTCTCCCCAGGACTCTGTCCGGCAAACAAACCTTGTGATTTACAAATAAAAGTGATGAAATGAATTATTAAGTTAGAGCAGCAGTAATCACTAAAATGCATTTCTCTGGCACGGTAACACTAGAAACTGTTACTCCATTTATCAGCATGCCTGTGATTTTGGAGTAAGATAATAAATATTGAAGGCATTTTATTTCTAAATTTAGCTAAAGAATTTTAAAGTAAAAAGTGTTAAATATAAGTGTCGATAAAATGGCATTAGGCAGCATTTTAGATATGACATTTACTTTGTGCCATTCATTATTTATAACTATAAGAAGCGTTTTCTCATCAGGTAGGAATGATTACAAGCAATGCTTTCTGGAAAAATACTATAGCACTGAGCAGGTTTTCTATGATCCCAGCAGACGGGGTAAAGGAGGAGTCTTGGAGCCCTCAGTGGCTTTTGCAGGCTTTTAGTGGGATTTACCAGGCATACAGCAGGCAGGGGTGCTGGGGGGCCAGGAGGCTGGCAGGGCTCTCTCATGTTCTCTCTGCTTCTCTGCTCTCCTGCTTGTCTGCTTCTGCTTCTCTCGGCTTCTGCTGGCATCCCCATGACGCCACCCTTAAAAGCCCAGTCTTAGCCCAGGTGAATCCCATCTACCTATGCCCACACCCTACTCCAGGTGCCCGCCATCAGGCATGCATTCAGGACCGCAGGGTTCCATCATCTATCCTGATGGCGGGAGGGCAGAAAAGCTTGATACTTTTTACCTTACCCTACAAATACCAATCAATGTAATTATATTCTGCCTACTATTAATGTTACACATTGTCTATATAACATTGTGTGAACAAAATACTTAATACTTATTAGGTGATTAAGTTTTACGAGGTAAGTGAAACTAAATTAGCTTTACTTTCCCAAAGAAGAAGATAAAACAAGAGAAGGTTGAATGGCAAAATGGTATGTCTTCATTGGAACTAAAAGTAATCATCAATAGAAATACACAGTATTTCTAGGGAGATGGACACAGTAATTCATGGTTTGGGAAAAAGCCAACATGTTGCCAAGTTCACCATTTCTAACCCTATGTCAAGTTTCATTAATTACAACTGGGTTTCTTAAAGCAAAACTGCCTTATCCTTCTCTGCGTCAATAGTACCACTAAGTCTTTGCTCCCATTCTCTACCTTTGCAAGGTCCACCTGGCCAGGAGGCCCAGCTGGCAAGGCTATCCGATGAACTCACATGGATTTATAATACAACTCGTGTTATTGGTGACTCTTCCTTAAAAAGGAGCACAGATCGTGAGACATTACAACCCTGCTTGTGAGTATTTTATTATGTTATGCATGCATTTTATGCTTTGTACTAGACGATGCATATACCTGAGCTTTTTTAAGATGCAAAACTCAACATGTATAATTTGCACAAAGTTATAAAGCTAGCCAATGAAAGAGTCAAGATCTAAAATGAAATCTGTCTTCCCAAAGTTAATTCCCCCCATTATAGCAATTAGCTCAAAATTGAGTGGTTGTGTATATAATACACCTAAAATTTATGAACCTGGGTCTATTTTTACTTGTCTTAAATACATAACAATTTCAGTATTCTGTCAATAAGTTATAATTACTAGAGTAATAATTCTTTGAAAGATTGTAGGATTATTAATAATTGTCATTACATACTTTGTAAGTTCCTCACAGAAAAATCCTCAAAATAGACACTATAAGAATGTTAGAAAGTGAAGGTTGCTGCTAACACAATAAAAAAATTATTAATTACATCTCTAAAAGAGAACTCGATTCATTACGCCTCATTATAAAAATAAAAAACTCCCCCAACAGTATTTAAAAATCCATGGAGTTCCATCTGTAAAGTTATTCAAGACTGATATTTTGTTATTGCAAAACTGTAAAATTATACTTACTCCCTTAGTTTTTGACAGGCTAAAAGGACATTTTCCAAAATAATATCTTCAAATTTATAATGAAATCTAATGAATGTCATTTATTTATTTTTCTTTTTTTAATTTTTTTTAAACAATATTTGCTTCCCCTACCCCCTCAGATTGAGTCCCCATAGAATTTCCTTAACTGGAGTTTAAAAGTTTGGTTTGATTTTCACACTCAGATTTACATCAATTCCTTGATATCGCAAAACTAGCCCTAAAAATGTCAAAGAATAATACCTTTACCAAAATTCTGCTTTCTTTCTAGAATGCTTTCACATATCACAAATCAATTATATGATCTGAGGTAAATCATTTGATTCTTCTCGCCTTTATTTTCCCATTTATAAAGTGGTATCTAAGACTTGTCTAAAATCATAGTCTCCTTATACTTGCTTGCCTGAAATAAATGACTTTAACATTGGGGGAAAATAATTATTTAAAAAAAAAGACTCTCTGGTTCTTCAAGTCATTATTCCCTCTGCCTTCTGGCACCACCTTTTGGAATTTCTAGATTTAAGGAATATATATAGCTATACATAGATCTAAAATTGCTTTTCTATGTCAACCTACAGTTTCTCAGAGATTTCCTTAAACATGAAAACAATGGGAGTGTTTCCATAACTTAAGGAATGAGAGAATATTTAGTTCTCATAGAAAAGTCTTGACTGCTGTTGCTGTAATCAGATAATAGGAATGTCTATGCAGCTAACAAAGGGATCTAGACAGCTGGCATCATGGCTGGCTCTGCCACAGAGTTTGATGGCTCACAACCTGGCATTTCTTTCTTCCTTGAGGCTCAGATATTACCAAATCTGTATTCATTTTAAAATGGTTAATTCAAATTGTTACTGGAACTGATGGGGGTCATAGGGTCACTTGCTAACAGAGCAGGATGTATGCTGAAAATTGAAAAATTCAAACCAGACCGTAATGTTAATTCATTACAGAGATTCAGGATGTAATGCTTTAAAATGTTACTGGGTGTAATGCGTGGGTGATCTCTAATTTCATTTCTGAGAATTATTTATGTGATTAATCACATTCAGAAGTAAACGTTCACATGGCTATGTTGGCACTGGGGTGGGCTGTGCAGGCAGGTATTCCTTCTAATTACTCCTCAGTGCTATTAATTGAATAGTCATCCAGATCTGTCTCAATGGTCTGTGGCAACGTAATTAGCTAAAATATCCACAAACAAACCTGCAGGCTATCCCCACTTATCAGTGAACATGGTATTGCAGCTGAAGACCTCTCTTGCAGCTTGGAAGCAAAACAGATAGTGCTTTTGTTGGGGTAGATGAGCCCTTGAAAGGAAGTTATCATGCATAAGTGTGAAAGAAAAGGAACAAATTTTGATATTTAAGGCCCAGCTAGAAAACACCTGTGGTGCATGATGGCAATTGACAAGCAGTTGTTCCAAAATTTCTGGTGTTTTGTGCCGCTTTCATTGGTGATCAGTGAAAAGAGGATGGGCTGGTGATAGCCGACAGCATCGTGGTTCTGTCTCTTCCCAGCACAGGGCTTAGCAAAGTCACCTGTGTGCTTTGTTCCTAGTTTCTCCATCTAGAGATGGACTAGGTATTGTTTTCTAAACTTTTTTTTTTTTTTTAATTACAAAAACAAGCCTCAGTCACAGATCCTCTGCTCTCATGAAGCCTGAACAGCATCACACAGGGCTGGTTTCACTTACACACTAAGCCCCGAGGGAGACTGGAGATCCTATACCATTTCAGATCAGATTTTTGTAATCTATATAAATAAATTGGTGTTTATCAAGCTTGACCGTGCATACAAATCAGAAGATATCTTGTTAAAATTCAAACTCTGAGCCAGTGGGTCTGGGGGGCTGAGTCTATATTTCCAACAAGGTCCCAGCTGAGGCTGACACTGCTGATCCATATAACATAATTTGAATAACAAGGGTAAAGACTCTCTAACGTCTCCCCCAACAGGTGCATACTCTAAAAGTAGGTGGGGAAAAAAATACTGAACTTTTCTTCCCAGTGTTGCCAATGGATCTCCCTGAGAACCCAGGGGGTATTCCTACATCTCAATCATCTTTTCTTAGTGTTGAAGAAGTTTGACTCTCCAGGAAAAGTGAGGTTTATTCTTTCTCATACTGCTAAATACTGTCACATTTGAACTGCAGATAAACAATAAGGATCTTTTAAAAATTATACCTCATGGGACATACTCTTATTAAAAAAATCAAAACAAAACTACTAGCTTTTTAACTTGAAATTCTAATTTGCCTGCATGTCCTGTATTTTATTTGGCAACCCTATCTATAAGGAAACACAAGAATTTGGGCTCGGGCCAGTGAAACTTGAAACCTAATTAATACAAACTACTTCTGTTTGTGGCTGTGCCTCTTTGCTTCATGAATAAT